GTGGCATCGTCCTCTGGAAAGGATTTGTCTGCTCCTCTCTGTGGTGATGAGTAAAGGGGAATGTGGTGTAGCCTTGTGGTTGCTCCAAGTTACACCAGTATGGGAAGCAGCTGGAGGAGGGACAATGCCCAAACACTTGGTCCATCTGTTGGCAAAGCCTTCCCCACCAATGCAGAGGGAAGCTACATGGGAATGCTCACCCTACCTTGTTGAGGGTGTTGAGAGCAGCCTGGGCAGCTGCCAAGGCAGGCTCAGCCTTGGCCAGGTCCTCCTCACAGTCCTTCTGTTTCTGCTCGACCTCCTGTGTGATCAGGGCCACCTTCTGCTCCTCCTCATCGGCCACTGCCTTCTTTCTGCTCACCTTCTCCGTCTCCACCCCCACCACCTGGATCAGCTTGTCAGCATCCTCATTCCTCTGCTTCAGCTCCACCTCTTGTGCTGCCAATTTGGCCTTCAGTTCATCTACCTGGAGGAAAGAGACATGGGAGCAGGGACACTCCCCAGCCTGCCCAGCAGCATGGGCTCACAGTGCAGTGTCACAGTGTGTGAAGGGGTTGAAGCTGATCCAGCTCCAACCCCTGCCCTGGGCAGGGACACCTCCCACCAGAGCAGGTTGCTCAAGGCTCATCCAACCTGGCTGTGAACACTGCCAGGGTTGGGGCAGCCACAGCCTCCCTGGGCAACCTGGGACAGTGTCTCACCACCCTCACAGTGAAAACTTCTGCCTCAGACCTCATCTCAATTTCCCTTTTTCCATTTCTCCCATTGCTCCTTGTCCTGTCCCTGCAGTTCCTAACCAAGAGTCCCTCTGCAGCTTCCCTGGAGCCCCTTCAGGTCCTGGCAGGTGCTCTGAGGTCTCCACACAACCTTCTCTCACACTGCTCCCCTGAGTGGCTCTCACAGCCAGGAGCCCTCCCAGCACCAGGTTGAAGTGTTTGCACAGTGAGGAGCTCCCTCAGGCTCTCACCTGCAGGTAGAAAGCCTTTCTAAACCCCCCATTCCAGAGGATTTCCCCAGGCCCTGTGCAGACCATGGAGGCTTTCACTGGCCTGAGCTCAGGCTCATGAAGGATCACTTTGAGCTCCTGGGGCACATCTTTACCTGCACAATACACTCACTAGAAGGGGAGGCAGCCACTTGCTTTTGGTGATATCCATTTTGAACCCAGGAGAGAGCACAGTTTGTACTCTATAAACTGAAGCTGTTGACATTTGGCATTGGCTTCACGTGGAGAGTTATTTCTCAGGAGTCTCCACATGCCCTTCATCATCACCATCCCCTGCTGCCTGGCACTAAGGGGCTGCTTTCACCAGGACAAAGGCATGACTGCAAATCCAGGCTCACAGGAGCACATAATCCCTTCATTTGACAAACTCAGCAGCAGCTTCTTGTTCAGCTCCTCGTCTGGAGGGACTGCAGGAAATTGAAGTGGGCTTTGCTGATGGCAGATAAGGCTTGTGACCTTCTGCCCAAACCCAGCCATTGTGTGAGGTGTGGGGTGTATGTACAGACAGGAGCCTCAGGGGTTTACACAGCCAGGACAAAACAGCAAGGGATTAACGTGCACAGGCACTCCTCAGAGCTACAGAGCAAGCAGGTGTAAGCTCAGCCCCTGCACAGCCCAGGGGGCAGAGAGTGCCCTGCCAAGCACACACAGCTGTGCGAGGGGAAACGACTGTCTACAGCATTGTCAGGAGTTTGAAACAGCAAGAAGGCTGGAGAGGGACAGGACAAGGGACAATGGCCTTAAACTGCAGAAGACCAGGTGTAGATTAGATATCAGGAAGGAACTGTTCCTCGTGAGGTGCTGAGGCACTGGCACAGGTTGCCCAGAGCAGCTGTGGCTGTTCCATCCCTGAGAGTGTTCCAGGTCAGGCTGGGTGGGGCTTGGAGCAGCCTGGGCTAGCAGAATGAGATGGTTTTTATGATCCCTTCCAACCCAATTGGAAGTGATTCTGTGATGCTGTGCCATACCTGTGAGCAGCTTCCTGACAAGCAATTAGTATGTGAGTTGGAAATGAGAGACTGAAGGGTAATGTGCTGTGAGCTCAGCAGGGAAGAGAGAAGTGCTGCCTACCACCAGGACAGCACCAGACAAATTGTTAAGGAACAAAAAACCTGGGGAACAGACTCCCAGAAGATTCAGTTTTGTCCCTGCCTTGTTTCAAGAACACAAAACACATCCCGGAGGGCAGCGATTAATTGGTAGCACAAGCCAGACTGGAATCTGGACTCCAGTGATGCAACATGAACCAAATCATCCTAAGAACCATTCAGCAATGGGCTCTGAGCTGAGTGCTGACCTCCTCATGGCAACCAGCACTCTGACAAATGAGTGACTCATCACACACATCTCCCCACTATGTTCTAACAGAAAGGAGACTTTGCTTTCCTGAGTGCTGAGGACCCTGCCGTCTCCAGGGAGAGATGTTTGGGATGGGAGCTGATGGAAAACATTTCTGTAGAGCAAATCTACAGTATCAAGGTACCAAAAGAGGAAAAATACAAAGAGTGAGGAAGGGAGAAGAGCAAAAGGAGGCAGAGAGGTTGTTTTGAAACTCAGAAAGTCTCGTGGGGGCACCACAGCTCCTGGTGCTGAGGCCACACTGAACAGTCTGTGGAGACACACAACCTCATCCTAACTTGTCAGGACAC